CATCATTATATATGTAAGTGCATCAAAGAGTATTGACAAAAATTAGAATGCAAACTATTGTTGTAGGTATATTATAAATTACTAATAAAAAAATAACCAATAAACATTATAATATAAAATAAATTATCATTGATCATTTGGTCTACTAACACACCGTCTCTATTTTGTTTAAGTAGATTATGAGTTCAAATCTTGTAGACGATAGTTATTGAAACAATTTGTTGGAGGTCAACAAAACTTTTTCTTATTCATAGAATTTGCCGGAGGTCAACGAAATTTACCCCGTGATTCTGTGAACGTAGTTTCTTGAAAGAAGCAAGACAGATGTTTCTTGTGTGAATAGTAGGAGCCTAAATTAGCAGAAATAACAACTAAAATTAGAGGAAATTGAATCCACATAAAGGAAAGTAAATAAATAAAAGAAAGTCAGCACCTAAATAGGACTTAAGAGATTAGAAGTAGTCCACATAAATTTTGGTTAACAATTTTGCGGTGGTGAGTTTCCTTTTTGACACTATAAAATGCACCCTTCGAGACCGATCTTGAATCCAACACTATTGAGATTGTCAGAGACAAATACAAGTCTAAAACATGGGTTCAGAATTTATTCATGGAATTACCTGGTTTTTGTTCTTGGTAGCGATATGTGCCATCAAAGCCAAAGCTATCAGTGTTAATGTCGTTAAATTTGGAGCCAAGGGTGATGGCAAGACAGATGATACCAAGGTAACAAACAACTAATTACTCTCCAACATGATATTAGAACTCAGATTTTTCTCTAACAAAATGAACTTTAGTTTTTTCATCGAACAATCAAATACTATCGCGTCATTCGGTGAATAAAATTTAGTGTGCTATGTGATGTTTCTCATCAAACTAATGTTTTCTTGTTACGTGATTAAATTTTCAGGCTTTCACACAAGCATGGACACAAGCCTGCAGTGAGAGGCAAAATAACAAATATGTGATACCAAAAGGAAAATATATAGTTGGTCCAGTTGATTTTGCAGGGCCCTGCAAAGCAAAAACTATTCACTTTAAGGTTGACGGAACAGTGCAGTCTTCAAAAAAGCAGTCGGTAACTGGAGGTGCGCACCGTAATGCGTGGATTAGTTTCACGCAGGTTAACAACTTGCTCATCTCAGGAGATGGCATTTTTGATGGCCAAGGATCTGAATTCAATTGTGCTAAAGCTAAACAATGCGAACAACCGCCTCTAGTAAGCATCCCCATTCTCAATAATTTTGATTTTTTTTTGTTTGTTTATTCAACAACTATTTATCGTACATGAGTTTTGAACTCAGAACTTCTTCAAACAAAATGAAGACGGAAGTTATGATCTGTTCGATCGGGATTAATTAATGCTTCTTTGATTGAATGCAGAATTTAATTTTCTCTATGGTTAAGGATTCACACATCCAAGGCATAACATCGAACAATAGTGTCGGCGGCCAGATTGGCATTTACCGTTCAAGAAACGTGACAGTGGACGATGTTTCCATCGGCATCCGAGGGGGGGAGGGAATCCTGATCGAAAAGTCAACAAACATTAACATCACCAATACAGACATCAAAATCCTTAGCGACAACTGTGTCACTATCCTAGATGGAAACACTGGGATCAACATCGAAAAAATGACCTGCTCACAAGGCAATGGCCTTGGTGTGAGTGTCCTAGGCAACACTGGCAAAGAGGAGCCGGTTAATGGAGTGACGGTGAGAAACTGTACCTTCTCACACACTGAGGGTGCAATTAGGATCCAGAGTTCGGCGGGTTCTACTGCTAATATAGCCATCTCTAATTTGGTTTTTGAGGACATTATTTTCGACTATCTTCAGAACATGGCTATAGTCTTAGACCAGGAGCATTGCCCATCAAAACAGTGCCGAACGCCAAACCCCTCCAAAGTTAAGGTGTCAAATGTGAGCTTCAAGAACATTAAGGGCAACTCCGTGGACAATCGTATCGTTATTCTTGAGTGTGGCACTGCGCCCGGCGCATGTAAGGACATCAAGTTTAGTGACATGAGAGTTCTCGTCGTAGGGGATGACCATTTGGAGACTCAATTTAGATGTAAAAACGTGAAGCCTGTTGTGTCTGGCAAAGTTGATCCTGCTGTTTGTAATACACGACCCGTTGCCTGATATTAGTTCACGTACGCCATCTTGACATCCAAGATAGAGAAAGAGATAAAGAATATATATATATATATAATATGGTATTCACACTTAATTGAATGATGAGTGGTGATGTTTTTTGTAATAACATCAGCAACAGAATATTGCTGCTTTTTGTAATAACTTTTGGCTTTAAATATCGCTTGTTCAGACTAATCACGTACTAGTATTCGTCGGGAACAAAAATTAGCTCAAGGAGTTTGTTTCAATGTGGTGATTATTATCTGGATTTTAATTGCATTTGCGTGTTTATATGAAACTTGAACATTAAATCAAGGTAATATAGCATGAAAAATTAGCACAAGCTGATCTGATCCGCTTTCAGAAATCATTCCAATTCAAATTAAAACCAGAATCACTTTTAATGCAGATACCTTAACTACAATCTAGAATCCCCACAAAATGAAATTGAGTACATAATACTTACATATTTATTTGAGGTACCACCAAAGAGGAAGATGCATGAATATGAATGAGCTAGACTTTGGTCATTGTTCTCACCAAAAGGTCAGAAATTCGAGCACCAAAAGGCCACAGTCTGCTTATGCCAAAATCCAAATTAGACAATGATTTTGTGTTGCATTTGCTCCCCACCTTGTCATAGAGTATTGTGTAGTTTGAGCTGCTTATATTTCTCAAGTAACAGAATTTGTCACCATCATATGCGTAGACTTGCTGTGTACTCCCCAATCCACTCACAACCAAATTGTTTTTCACAACCATATTGCCCTCAGCACTCTGCAGATTTCTGAGAGAGCTGTTCGAGAATCCCAAACCAGACTTCTTCTCAATAAATCCCAAGTCCACACTTGTAATCAATAAATAAGTTCCATTTCCTCGTTCTAAGAAGTCAGTGTACAAATAAAGTGGAAATGTTTTGTGTGATGTCAGTGAGTGAACATAGGAGGATGGCAGCTTAATATGAACTGAGTCATTGAAAATGATCTTCTGGTTGACTATCTGCATATTACCATCTTTCCCCAGGACCATTGAATTACTGTAATAGAAGTCTTGAATTGAACGGGTTGTGATATTCCCATAGGAAGACTTCACCCATCCAGTTGATGACACGGACCTGCTTGTCCTTGTCAAAAATGTGCCATTTAAACCCTTGAAATCTGAAACCAGGGAAACAACAAGGGGCAAGCTATTATGTTTCAAAAGCTTTCCTTCAGTTTTTGTGCTCTGTTTGTCCAACCAAAGATGCAAATTTGCATCAATGTACCAAACATTTAAGGCATTTGTAACATTAAACCCAAACTTGTGGCTCTCCCCATCTAATATCTTCCCTAAAAATGGTGTAATTTCAATATCATAAGTAGGAAGATCATATGAGCCAATTGCAGTAATGGGTCTCCACAAAAGAGGATTGATCCCTCCAGTGAAAATCACAGTAAAAGGCCAGACTGCACCAACAACCTCACCATCTAGACTGACCACAACCTCCCTAAAAGGCCCATTTCCAGGTGTACCGCTAAGGTTGTTTGCAGCTATGTACTCATTAGGAAGATTTGAATACCAAGATTCATCATTCTCATGAAATGAAACATACACCTCCAACACAGCCCTATAAGCATTCTGTGGAATCTTCAACTCCTTCAACTCCGTATCAGTTGAATTCTGAACTTCAAACCATAACCCATCATTCAAAGGCAGATTTCTCGAAATGGGTAAAATCAAATCAGCCCAAGAATGGTACCCAGATGCCAAATTATCCAACTTTTGTTCAAAAGAATTCAATTTCTCTTTAGCAGGGTAAAAATGAATGCTTATATTCACATGATAAATCCCAGTGTATGTTTTATCTATCAAATTGCCAAGATAAACAGCAAGTGTTTGATTACTCTTAAGCAGTGAATAGTACCTTGTGATGTCCTTCTCGACAGCCCAAACAATCCCATTAGGCCTTGGTTCTGCTGTGCAGCTCCTGAGAATCTCAACCCCACCAAGCCAAACCCCGAAAATGCGGTCAAATTGCCTTCCCCTGCTTGTAGCTTTCCATTCAAGGACAATTGTGGAGAAAGTTTGAGATGGGCAATGGGAAGGAGGGGTGTAGTTTGCAAAGACTGGAGCTTGGCCATATGTGTAGGCAAAGTCATGCTGGAGAATGAGCTGGGAACAAGGCTTGGTTTTTGGTACCTCAATGGGTTTGGTTACTTCAAAAAATACAGTTGGTGGGGTGTCATTTAGAGGTGTGGGTTGGGAGAGAAGCTCAGATCGGAGGAGGTTGAGCTTGTGGACATTGGCTGTGGAAAACAGAGGTTGGTGGAGTAGGAGGAAGAAAAGGGGCAACAGAGAGGCCATGAGTGACTGACTGGTGGTTGAACCTTGGTGGTTTACTATTATGAAGAATTGTACACCATAAGAAGAAATTTATCCACGTGGCTCTTTTTTGGGTTATCTTTGTTGCTTTTAATACATTGATAGCAACGAACATTCTCTATTATTTTTAGTCTGTAAATTTAACCTGAAAAGAAAGATTCAGAGATCAGGGTGCAATGGGGAATGGACAATTCCAAGCAATTAATAAAGGCGATTTGATTCATGAGATACTCCAGGGCAAGAACCACATGAAAAAATAAATTAGGACAACAGAAATAAAAATGACCTAAAACAGACAAACAAAATTAGCACATAATTAAATTACCATAAAATAAAATTATTATAGCACCTCAAATTTAGCAATTCTAGTATAAAGACCACTAAATTAATCTTGTAATGTGAACTTTTGAGCAGTGTAAAACTGATCATATTGTTTGTAAGGTGCATGTCCTCTGGGTTATCTATAAGTGCTTTCTGTGTAAACATAGATTCTGTATGGGTAGAATTGATTTCATTCCTTGAAAAATATCATCATTTCATTACACAATAAGATTTACACATCTCTGATATTTACACTCAATTAAGAGTTCGATTTAAAACTGATATTTGACCAGAGTCACCGTTCAACAAGAAAACCTCCAAAGGGGCATAAGTAGAGGCTATTGATGATCCAAATCTGTAGGTAGGTTGCAGTAGTTTGCTTCCTTTGGCACACTGAAATGATCGAAGCCTCGGTCCAGTTCTCATCTGCCAAATCTGCATGGCATTGCCACATGAGCAAACATATTTAAGTTAATTAAGTGAAACCAAGCTTGATCTTAATCAACTAAGACAGTGGTTTAGCAAATGCACAGAGAAGGCCCCATCAGTCCAAAACTAAACAGAATTTTGCGATCGTACTTAAATTTGAACTATATGTTCTCTCTTTAATACATAATGATATCCATTCATTCTACCCTTGGGCCGCCATCAAGCATTTTATGCATATATGCAACTCATTCACATCATTTAAGTCAAATGGAAAAAGAGTGGAGCCCTGTCCCCATCATCTAATTTCGAACAAAACTTTCAAAAGCTTGCATAAAACTTTGAAATATGATTCTTAAGACAACTAATGTATCGAATGCCTCTAAAAGAATCAACTATCAATTTTACATTCTATTTCTCTAACATGTATACATGGACTGCTGTACAATACCTTCAAGATCCACAATCGTCCACATAAGACTCATAATAAGTAAGGTAGAAAATGTATCTAGAGGAACTTATCACTTTACGGTCTATTCTTTGCAATTAAAAAATTTACTTAAGGGTTCCTGATACAAGTACCTTCAAGAAAACAGGAAAGATTTATTTGCAGTCTCATTAATATAGTATAAATAGTAAGCTAGCAAAACAATGTAACTAAGAGAATGCAAAGGATCTTTGACTGCTTTAATGTCAGAAAAAGGAGATAATTTCTGAGGACAAAGTAAAAGAAACTACCTCAACAATTCCTTTCCGAGGGGCATGAATAGCCAAACACAGGCAGTAATCACTCTTCGTAGGTTCATAATAACTAGAACCGGAAGCTGCAGTATCTTTTCTTACCAGCATCTCCATGAATAGGCAACTAGCATCCCGATATCCCTGCAAATTGATTCAAACCACCATTAGGAAACAAAATGAAAGCAAAAATAAAGTAAAAATAAATTCAAGGATTCTGGGATAAAACCTTCCAGAGCCGCACTATAACAAGTGCTTGAGTGTCTAAAAGCAATATACGACCAAGTGAATCTGTAATTGCAGCCAACGTGCCACTAGGTGATAAGGTAAGCTTCTCACCCTTTCTTGGGAAATCCTTCAAACATGTCAATGGTGAAGCTGTCACAAATCACACTGCAGGTCAGCCAAAATGCAGTTGATAAATGATTGTACGTAGAATTTGAAATCCAAGAAGAAAAAACCAACTATAATAGTACCACAAGAAAATTAGATTGGATTTCTTTTGAGCTTACACTAAAGCATATCATATCACTCTTGATTGAATGTCACATGCACAGAAAAACTAAGGAATGTACTTTTTGTTCCACTTAGCAGTCCAAAAGCATGTTCAAGCGTATATATAATTTCTTGTTAATTATGTTTCAATACAATTAGCAAAGTTCCAAGAGCAAAGAAAGTAAGGCGAGCACAATAGTCATGCAAGTAGCAGACAGGACCACCAGAGATAAGGATGCATGATTCACCATTTCTCTGTTCTTTGTGCTTATATTTTTGACTTTATAAGATCATGTCGCTGTTGTGCACTTTTACTCAACCCCTCAGCCAAAAGAGTACTTTTGATTTCTAATTCCATTTATTTCATGTCTTTTCATCTGCGTCTATCACTTTATTTGGTATTTGCATAATTTTATCATATTTTATTTCCTATAAATTTGAAACTATAGCCACAGATGCGCACATAAATGTAAAGATCTATATGTTTCCATATATATCTGGAAAAAGAATAAGGTCTTTATACAGAGGCAATGAAGTCAACCATCAATATGATTCAATGATCTCCTCCTCCTTTCACCAATACATTCAGGTGGAAAAACTACACAAATCAGTCAACAACATCATTAACTTTAAGTTAATATTATTCTCACCTCGTGCAAATGGTTGAGGCTTCTCATCTGATTTTCTAGGTGAAGTCTGGTCACTCCGCCAAATCATTTTTGACAATGAAGCTATTGTCGAAAATGTTGCAGGCACAACTTTAGACAAGATAGCTCCCACCAAAGACCTATTTTTGTCTTCTGAAAGTCTTTATATGAAAAAATATATATATATCTAATCATTAAATATACCAAAAGAACATAAGAAGGAGAGCACTTTGAATTGCAAAACATAAGAATAAATTTTACTAAGTGGGAAATTTTTGAATTGCATCATCTCATCACACTAACCTGAAGGCAGAAATCACGGCATCCTCTCCAACAGTGATTCCACAGTAATAATGTTCACTTGACTGTCCAACAATAAAAGCAGCTGAATTCAAATCCAAAATAACTTCAGAAGGCTTTCCATGATTTATAGGGAATTAACATCAGAAGCATTACTGCCAGGGAAAAATTTTAAAAAAAAAAATGGTGGACAAGCATGGCAATAAGAAAAAATTGTAAATGTTACGGAAATAAATTTCGGTACAATATATCCCCACTGTTTGACATCTTTTTATCTTTCAAGTCACTGGTGAACTCAACAGAACTTATTCTATCAAGGTGGATGCTGAAGAAAGCATCAGAATATGAAAATAAGCAGGGTAATTCTACCTGGATTTCCATCAGTGGTGGAGGCATAATGCCAGTAATTGCTGCATCAGCACAGGTACCATACTTGCTGACACTCCATAACTGGTAAGGTAATTTACCATAAGAACGTCCAAAATCATCTGAGCTTCGCTTTCTGGGGTTTGGATCCCAAAACTGAGACTGTGTTTCTTGAAACCACTGGTGCAGCATATTCTACATTCCAAGCATGTAAAGCATATTATTAGAACCCATACTGATTGCGCTCCTAAAGGGTAGAAGCAAACACAAAAATCAAACCAGAAAAGAAGGGGCAATCTGAACTTTTTCCAAGTCTCCAACAGTAAACATCCCACACCATCTTGTTAACTTATAACTAAAAATACTTTATCTTTGCATTTCATAAGGGGAAAGAGTGAAAAATTAAAGATAAACACTAACATGATTTATGCTCAAAGATGACATTACAGCTAAAACTCTTCATTGCTAGCAAGGCAAAAACACAAAAGTTTCTCATACCTGAATATCAGAACCATCAAAACGGGCGACTATGCCTGGCATAACAACACAAACCTCCTCCGAGGATGTTTCATGGCTCAAATCTCTCTTCGTTCCACGCACTCTCAACCTTATAATCCGTGCAGGATATACCATCTGTAAGTACATAAATTAATCAAAGCTGCATGACCAACATAACTTAAGTTTTTCAACAACCAATACCAGAAATGAATCACAATGCCATACAAAATCATCACATTTACAAAGCCAATATGCAAAAACTTAACGAACGGAATGAAATTTGCAACATTGAATGATAAATGTTCATCGACCAAACCGAATGTGGCAGCTTTACCTGTTTATGAATTAAATGACCAGCCAAAGAGAAAAAGAGGAGGGAGCCAGACGAAGTCCCCGCCACGACGACCCTTATCTCATCAAACACCAACCACTCTATAGCCGTGACGAACTCCGCCGAGATCGGGGACAATTCGGGTCGGATCTTGAGCCGGGTCGAGTCTGGCTCGGCCCACCCTAGAACCACAATAACGGAGCGGTTGGCGAGCGCGAGGGAGTGGGTGTCAAGGGCGCAGAGGAGGCTCGGGTTGTCGACGAGCCAGCCCTCCTTGCCCGCGCCGAGCTCGCCGAGCTCTTCGCAAGCTATGCTGCCCAGCTCTGTCGTATGAGCTCGCTTCGACATGGTTGATCGGATCGGGATCGAAGAAGAAGGAGCAAGACGAAGCAAGAGGAAAGAGATATCTATGGGTTCTGCTTTGCGTTTCGTAATAGTATACTAAAAACGTCGTCGTTCTCCGTTCCATAATAAAGTAGAGGTAAACGACACCGTTTTAACCATCGTTTTGGCCGTTAATGCATATTAAACTGTAACACAGTTTCGGTGGTCGTTCGACAAATCAAAAATGTTGAGCCAAGACCCCTCGCTCGCTAAAACCCTAAACCCTTCTCTCTTTATCCTCACTCCATTTGCCAACCCTCTCCGCAAAACCCTAACACTTCAACCCATCAGCACCGCTCCTAAACGCCTCTGCATCAAAGCATTCTCCCAATTCCCTCAAAATTCCGACCCCAATTTCACATTTTCCCACCAAATTCCCCAACTCCGGCGGGACATCCGCTCGTTAGCCGGCCGTAGCAAGAAGAAGCCCGGAGGTGGACCGTCCCCGGGCCGAATCGAAGGTAACGCGGAGTTTCGCAAGGAGGTGAAGCAAAATGCTCGCCGGAAAAGCAAGAAGCTTGCGGAGTCCATGTTCTACCGACTCAAGAACCCTAGCCGGAAGTACGCCGATAACTTCACCGACGACGAGCTCCAGCAAATCGGGCTTGGGTACGACCGCATGGTCCGGTTCATGGAGAAAGACGACCCCAATTTGCGCCACCCCCATGATTGGTACAAGTACGGCGAATTTGGGCCTTACTCATGGCGTGGAGTGGTGGTCGGTGAACCGGTTCGGGGGAGGTTCACCGACGAGAGGGTAACGATGATTGGTGAAGTTAAGGGCCAGGAAGAGTGGGAAAAGATTGAGCAATTTGAGATGGGTCAAGATTTTGGGAAGAGATTGACACAATTGGATAGGAGCAAAGGGTTTAAGTACTTTTGGGTGTTTGTGAGGCACCCAAGGTGGAGACTTTCGGATTTGCCGTGGCAGCAGTGGACTTTGGTCTGTGAGGTGGTTGTGGAAGGTGATAAACAGAGGTTGGATAAGTGGAACTTGATGGGTAGGCTTGGGAACTTGACTAGGTCCATGATAACAAAATGTGCAGCTTGGATGAGACCAGATATAATATACGTGAAGAGGCCGGTTTATCAGTGTAGGTTTGAGCCTCAGGGTGATTTTTTCAGGGTGTTGGCGCCTTTTCTTGATCCGAAAACAGAGGAGGATTACTTATTTGAGTTGGAGAGAGATGATGGGAGTGTTGAAATGTGCACTTATTTTGGTGGGTTGTGTAAGATTGTGAAGGTGAATCAGAAGGCGTTTGTGGATGATGTGGTGAAGGGTTATGAGAAGTTGAGTGATGAAGAGAAGTCTAGGTGTTTGGGGTTTTTGCTGAAGAATCATCCGGTTCAGTTGTTGCATCCCTATACGAAGGAATGGAAGGCTAAGTTGGAGGAGTGGGAGTTGGGTTGTGATGCTCCGGATGGTGATGATGATGTCCGCGGTATCAATGTGGCTGAGAAGGAGTATACGGATTGGATTGAGGTTGATGAGGATAATAATGAGGAAGAAGATGTTGTTATGGAAATGGAAGATGACGGAGAGAATGAATTTGGGGATGATAATGAGAACAGCAATGATGACGAGGAGGAAGATGATGGAGACGATGAATTGGGAGTTGAAGAAGAAGAGTTAAGTGAAGAAGAGGATGAGAAATATTGGGAGGAGGAGTTTCAAAAGGCGGTGAGTAGCTCTGATGCAATGGAAAAGCTGGCAAAACGAAGTGTAGAGGTAAATACTGAGTACTATAAGATGCAATTGAGAGCAATGGAAAGGAACAAATATGGAAACTTGGAAGATGATGGTGATGAAACCGCCTTGAGGAGAAAACGACCGACTGTGAGCCCCGAAGAATGGAAGATTGCTGGGTATGGTCCATGGAGGAAAAGGATTAAAAAGAGTAAAATTCCCCCGCAACTGTTCTTGCGAGCAGCAGTTAGACCATTCAATTACAGAAATCTTGTGAAGGAGATTGTTTTGACTAGGCATGCAATTCTGGATGGTGAATTTGGTGCAAAGACTTGAAACAATATCATTTCACGTCTCTTGTTTGGATCGCTGTATCGGCTAGTTTAGAAAATTACAGAGAGCATAAGTATTATGAATTGATGATACCAATGGATTTTATGTATGTAAAAGGAGCTGTATGAAGTTGAAGTTGAGACAGTTTATTGCAAGAGAAAGTTTTGCCATGGCAGTTTTTAATCAACTTTGTTGAGTTGCAATCTGCCTTAATTCATATTTTCAGTATTTCTATGAATTATCTTAATTTGCTGTAAGTTAATAATTAAATAAATGGATTCTTGTAAAATTAATAAATAAAATAAATGAAGATAAAAATAATTATTATTTTTAATTTTTTTTCTTTGGAACTACAAAGCAGAGCAATCAGCTATAGCCTTTGCTGCTTTTCTCTTGTTCTTGCACTAAAAAATGGCGGGAAATTCCTAACCCCAAAAAGCCAAAAACCTAACTTCCAAATGCTGACCATCCCCAATTTCCATGCAACTGCCGGTAACTGTATCTTCACCCATCTAATTCCCTACCTCCCCAAAACCCCTAACCCCCTGCTACTCTCGCCGATTCTTTTCTTTCATTTCCACACCCCGAAACGTTTCGCTCGTATCCGCTTCTCCACGCGACTAATGTCGTCGTCTTCTTCGACCCAAGTATTGGCAGAGTACGCGAAATCGAAGAGGTCCTCCTGCAAGAAGTGCTCGAAAGCGATCGCCGCCAAGGCTCTGAGGCTGGGCTTGGTCAGCAGAGACGCGCGCGGTTTCGACGTGACCAAGTGGCACCACTTGGATTGCTTTAACTTCGGCTCCGAGTCGCTTGCTTCGGTCGAGAAAATTAAAGGGTTTCAGTCTTTGGAGGTTTGGTCCATTACCAGTTTTGGGTTTTGCTTTGTTTGGTCAGTGAGAATTAACTATGGCTTCTGTTTTTAGGAAAACAAGGAAAAATGAAGTTGAAGTTTTGGGTGTTTTCTAGTTCTCGCCTTTGTTTCGAGAATAATTAAGCAGCTAAATGAAAAATAAACTCTTTTTCTTATTAAAAAAAAAAAACTGAAAGGAGGAACATTTTGAAGTAATTTAGATTGTTTCTTTTTGGGTAAGGCCAGGGTTGCATGTGTAAAGCATTGAAGTTTTGGTTTTCAAAATATCAATTAAAGATTGAGCTTTATATTCTCTTTTGGTTTCTGAATTTTCTCTGCAATCAAACAGGACCTTTGAGTGTAATAGTGTTAATTAGTTTAGCAGACATGGTTTCAAGTTTCAACTCTATTTGATTATTGTCCTACTTGTTTGTACTTTCAGAGTAGTGATCAGGAATCTTTGAAGAAATTGGTGGCTGCCTCGGATAAATCTCGAGGGGAGGTATGCCTTGATTTCCTGCTATTTCCTGCTGTAGATTGTGAATGAAGAAAAACAATGGAAAAAAGGAATAATATAAACTTACATGAGGGGGGCTTACAAGCCTGAAAGTCAGGGTGCGTGGTAACGAAGTATTATTAATCCTGAAAGTCAGTGTTGTGCTACAATAATGCGACTCAAATTTTTTTCTTAATTTTATTTGGGCTTCTGCATCATTGAGGCCAAATTGAAGCTTGCAGAAAGTAAGATGATTGATGACAGAAAGAAGCCAGAACAGCCTAGATACTAAAGGTTTATGAGTTTCACATTTCAGAAAAAGAGGTATCAGGCACCCAAAGCCTGGCCTCAACACGAAATTTTATTGTAAGGGGCTAAAATACTTCACTCACAATTATTCATAACATAATATGTATAGCTTATCTACACTCCATCCTGTGAATGGTGAAATTGCAAACTTGAGGGACCAAATAAACTTGAAAGAAAACAACAACTTACAAAGATGAACCAAAACCAACAAATAATGTCCTAAAATAAATTACACACATATTCTAGCCTGACCAATTAACTCACAAAACAATACAAAAAAGACCAATATTCCCTTGGCTTGATTACCAGCAGATTCCATCTTTACTCAAATCCATTAGCATTTGTTATTATAGTATATTAACGAGGGAAATGCCCAAGTCAATTCCAGCCTTTTATGTTTTCACAATTCTTGGTGAAGTGAACCCTTTGGTCTATTTGTTTGATTTCTGCTCTTCGTCTTCTCGCTGAATCTGCTAGGTTATTAATGTCTTATTTGAAATACCTTTTTTTCTTTTTGGTAAAAAATAATATTGAATCTTGCAGGATTCAAATGAAAGTACACACGAGGGAAAGGAAAGTTCTGAAGGAAAAAGAGTAAACATACCCTATTTTTGGCTTCCTTATAACATGATTTGCCAAAGGAAATTCCTGTGGTGATTTTTTATGTTTTCCAAATATAGGTTCATGAAGTAGATGAAAATGAAAATGAAGAAGAGGAAAGGAGCCTGAAGAAAGCGAAGGTATGCAGATGCCATTTTAGAGTAGCTAAACATATCTTTATTTGTATATATATCTCTTGGACTTGATTTGTTCATCTTAGATTTCTTCTACTTTACTCAGTGCGCTCTGAGATACTGTCTGAAAATTTGCAGTCACACTACTCTCATTGAACATCTTTTCTCAACATCATGCTTCCCTACACATTCCTTCTTAAAATTTCAGGGATTGCATGCGAAATACCTTAGTGTGGTTCTTCTTATTTACTGCCTGATCCAAGCTTTTTATTCAGTTTTTGTAGACTCTTATTAAGTTTTCTGTTTGCTTCAGAATTGTTGTCCTATACTATTTCTTTTCATGTTTTTCCAGATTGCAATTCCTTGCTTCCTGAGTTTTGCTGTGTCTTTTTGTTTCTGTTTCTAAGTAGATTACAAATATATCACATGGACTGAATGCATGTTACTCGTACTATTCCTTCTTTTATTCCTGCATCAACTTCTAGGTACAACTGCGACTCATAATTACTCAGGAAGTCATTATATGTTTTATGCAGATTTGCTCATTTGTAATAATGAATTATGTTAAATAGGAGTTAAGCTATACATTGTTTCTTGTCCTTGATATAACTTCCTATCATCAATCATTATTTGTTTTTTGTTTACAGTCATCTAAATGTGATGGACAAGCTAAGCTGGATATATCCTTTACAATTTCTGATGTGAAAGACAAGTACAAGGTCTGATCCATCTCCTTACCTTTAATGTGCATCTGTACATTTTGTGGAATTGAAGAAACTTTTTGTGCTTCCTCAAAAATGTACCTTTCACCTTTGTTTTCTTTCTTGGAAATGTTTACTGGTGCAGGATGCAACTCTTTCACCTAAATGGAAAGCATTCCAAACAATCATATTTCTTGAACGGGTGAGACATTTATCTTTATTTGTAAAGGTTCTTTTAAAAAGCTTGTTTGATTTTTGTTTGATAATGAAAATCAATATAAGGGCTGATTTTATGCATACGTTGACGTGTTTGTCTATTACTCAGGCTACTTTGTTCCACTAATAGTTTTATGAACAAAGTATTTTTATGCTGGATTTCTATTTATTTTTTTCATTAATTGCTTTTATCTGTTTTTCTTGCTTCCAACATAAATTGGTGCATATATATGTTCACTAATCACGACTTTTTATGATCTATAATTCTCAATTGTTCGCATGCAGTCATATATATGTTCACTAATCACGACTTTTTAGCAGAGGTAGTTTAATGTTGTTCACGTGTTCGTTGTGTGCTTTGCTTTTTTACAGGATGATGGACTGCATGATTCAAGTAAAATTGCTGCTTTTGATTTTGATGGATGTCTTGCAAATACTAATGTAAAGAGGTAGTGGATATTACTATTTTTAAATTGGCATGAATAATATATGTACACATATATTATTCATGCCAATGTAATATAGTCCCCTTCTATTAAGGGATCCCTCAAATAAGAATATCATATCATAGGCTTTGATTTCTCATGTCCCATCAATCAAGTGAGAATTTGTACTTCAGTGGGTTTGAAATTTTTCTTCTTTATGTTAACTGACTTCATCAATCTTGATTAAAAGGAAATCCTATGGGAATTATAAGTATATACTTTATAGGCCCATGAGAAAGTCTCATAAATATCTCTTTTGAATGGTTTCAAGCAATGTAAATGTATAAGTGAGTTTCATTTGTACAAAAGAAAAAGTTCTCATTTGGCCTAGACCCCAGAACTGTGGACAAGAATTTTTGTTGACAACCTAATATGCTGGTCTAATCTCAGGGTAGGTGCTGATGCTTGGTCCCTTATGCATCCTTCAATTCCTGATAAGCTACAAAGCCTGTATGAGGATGGCTACAAGCTGGTTTGTATTTTTTTGTTATCATATAAGCTATTGAAATTTGTACAGAAGTCTTGTGATTTTTGGACAGTTTGACATTCTAGTTTGTTTAGTTGTTTGGGGCTGCACTAATTGAAAATTTGACCACATTAGGTAATTTTTACAAATGAGTCCAACATTGAGCGCTGGAAGAACAAGAGACAAGTAGCTGTGGACTCAAAAATTGGTCGGCTCAACAACTTTATTAAGAAAGTGAAAGTCCCAATTCAGGTAATTCTTTCTGACTGACTTACATTGCCTACCTCACATGGTTGCAAGATCCAACCATGCAATGGTCCATTTCTGATGCAACTGATAAATTCATCTTAAATTCTTAATCAGGAAGTCTGTTCACCCTTTGTGATAAGAGTCATTTGGTTGAACTACCCATATTTTCGAAAAGGGACATTCAGCCTTGGCAATAAGGAGAAAATAGTTTAGTAGTATTTTTTTATAAAGTTAGTACCTTCAGCTTCTGACATGTAGAAAAAATTCAATATTGCATAAGAGTGTAGAATCTTATGATGAGAACAATTATGTAGAGAACTATGAAATGACACATTTTTTCCTTAAGAAAAAAATGCAAGGAGTATTGAAGTTGTCGCTGTCCAGCATGGGCGGAGCCAATTAAGTCCTACAAGGGTCACTTGACCCTTCTCACCCTTTGATAATTTGTTTTTGTATATGTTGCATTTGACTGAATTACTTTCTATATTACATGGCTGACCTTTCTCATCTTTTGAGTTTACTAACTTTTTCATTTTCTCATTTTCTTTGTTTACTATTTAAATTCTATAACAATTAAAGTACACTACAAAATCCCTATTGGCTCTAGTAGTATCTTTTTTCTAACACATAAACACACCACATAATTCCTAAGAGTTCTCGTGATTTCTTTAATCGAATGAGCCAATCAATTAGGCAAAATTCTCACTCTTACTATTTAAGGTTGACCCTTCTTGATAAAATTTCTGGCTCTGCTATCCAGGTTTTCATAGCTTGTGGCCTTGGAAAATCCGGTGGTCAAGCAGAAGACCCCTTTCGCAAACCCAAGCCAGGGATGTGGCATTTATTGGAACAACATTTGAACTCTGGCATTTCCATTGACATGGATCAGTAAGCTCTTTTCTTTTCTTGTTTGGTTACCATATCACTATTCTGCACATAGGAAGAGAGACATAGAATTGCCACCTTATTAATCAGTAGTTCTGTTTGTTTCAATAGCAATTATTATCGAAAGGACGGGATCAATGAGATTATAAAAGCCTTTTCTGTCTGCATTATAGATCCTTTTATGTTGGGGATGCAGCTGGGAGAAAAAATGATCACAGTGATGCTGATATTAAATTTGCGGAGGTACTACATCCTACATTATGATATTAAGTTATGACATGCGTGGTTTAAAGTTTTGTGCCAGTGGAATACTTTGGTGTCTATGGTTGTTTTTTTTTTCTTTTGCAGGCAGTCGGTTTAAAATTTTATGTCCCAGAAGAATACTTTGGTGTTTGAGCAAGGGACGTTGACGTCGAAATTATGTTGCCCCTCAGCCCCCAATTTTATAAAAAGAAATCTATATCATGTAATTATTATATAGTTGGCCTTTCTCGGAAGTTACTGGAACTTTTGTTTTGCTTAGAATACGTATTTTTTGTTCCTTGCTAGGAGGTTCTGTTAGCTTATGTTATGACTGAATGTTGCTGTAGCTTAACATCCAAAATTACATCTGCCGAAAAGCAAAAAGTTCTCTGCAGATTCTGTTGTAACATTGTAACATTGTAACATGCAGTTTGATAGTTCAGTTCTTCATAGTGATAGATAGATGTTCTCCTCTTTAATGACGTTAATCTAATTTCAAAAACAAAAACAATGATGGCTTTTCTGGTTTATGAGGGAATTATTATTATTATTATTATTATTAAATATTTATGTATTTTTAAAATAAAAAGAAAAGGATCAACCAAAATGCTTAATTTAATTGCATGTAGTTTGAGTGTGGTGTGTCAATTGTCAACTTCAACAGCTTGAGAGCCTTGAGCAAAACGTGGCCGCATCCCACAAATCTTAAATCCCATGCAATACGATGTTGTCAGATGGAACTGGAAGCAAGCGACTAATGAAGAAGAAGACGAATCAGCAAGAACTGGAACTGAGTGTTTTACCAGAGCAATGGATCCTTACTTCGAACAGAGACTCAGAGATGAAGTCATCTACCTCCATTCTCTCTGGCACCAAGGGCCCCCCACCTCCTCTAACCCTAACCCTAACCCTACAATCAACAACCCCAACCCCAATTCATATCCCAATCCCAATTCCAATTCCAATCCCACCAACAGGTCAAACAGGATGGCCATGTAAAGAGTCCAGCGTTTCCTCATCGACAGTGTTAGGTTGGCCGACCTTTGGTTCTCACTCGGCCTCTGCAACATGCTCCATTCCAGTGGAAGAACAAGCCAGGTCTGCTACATTGTTGTTACAGCAGAAGGCCTTAAATGAATGCCAGGATTTCTTAGCTGGCTACAGTGGTGAAGACAGCAGCGAAGATGAGGATGAAGGTGATTTGATGGATGAAGATATTTACAGATCATGGCGAGTTGAGGAGCTTTTATGTCAATAATTACGAAGGTGGGGAATTTTACTGCTTGGTTTGTGGTGGGGTAGGGAAGAAGGTATGGAAAATGTTTAAAGGTTGTGTGGCGCTTCTTCAGCACTCCACTGCAATATTAAAGAGTAAGAAGAAGGTGGCTCATAGGGCTTATGGCCAGGTTATTTGTAAGGTCCTTGGTTGGGATATTGGTCAGCCTCCAACAATTGGGTCTAAAGATAAAACCTCTTGATGATGGACCTTTGGCAAAGTCAGACAATTTGCAGGTAATTATTGCATGTGTGATGTTTATCTAGAGTTGTTCCTGAATTCTATAAGTTAGCTTTCATTGAACGTTGCAGGGTGAGAACTGGAAGAAAATGCTGATGATCACATGGATAATGTTGTTGTTCCGAAGGAAAACTTGGACTCTGTGAATGATCATAATTGTGAAACAGTTTCAAAGCAGGAATCCGATGTTGTTCAGAGTACTGGAACATGAAAGACATGTGAGTTGCAGGTGAGTTCCATCTCCATTGTTCACTCCCCAACAATGTCATATACTGAGTCACAGATTATTATGTCATACGTAATATGTGTAATACATCATAGAAGCACAGTTATTTGTTCCTGAATTCTGTAAGTTGCCTATGATTGAACACTGCAGGGTGAAGTGGAGAAAATGCTGATGATCATAAGGATATCGCAGCTGTTTCGAAGGAAAACTTGGACTCTGTGAGCAATCACCGTGGTGAAATAGTTTCAAAAGATGAATCTGATGTAGTCCAGAGTAATGGAGCATCAAAGACATGCGAGCTGCGGGTGAGTTTCCCTCAGTTGTTCACTCAACAAAGTCGTGCTGAGTCACAGGTCACTATTTATGCGTAATATGTGTATATACATCATAGATTCATAGTTCGTTGCAGGTGAGTTCCATCTCCGTTGTTGACTCCTCAACAGTCATGTACTGAGTCACATTATTATGTCATGCATAATTAGAATATTTTGTTCCTGAATTCTGTAAGTTGCCTTTCATTGAACACTGCAGGGTGAAGTGGAGAAAGGGGAGTACCCCTTCCTTCATACTTAATTGAATGATGAGTGGTGATGTACGTATCTATGAATCACATCAGCAACAGAATATTGCTGCTTTTTGTAATAACTTTGGACTTTAAATATTGTTTCTCCGGACTAATCATGTACCAGTATTCGTCGGGAACAAAAATTAGCTGAAGGAGTTTGTTTCAATGTGGTGATTATTATTTGGATTTTAATTGCATTTGCGTGTTTATATGAAACTTGAACATTAAATCAAGGTAATATAGCAAGAATTAATAGGCTCTGTTTTACGGGGTTTGTTGGAGATCAATGAGTTCTTCCACAGACGCAGATTAAGCAAACACACGACTGAAAATTGGAGGGTAAATTGACTCAAACCAGAAGAAATTAAAAGAAATCAAGGAAGTCAGGAGGATACCCCTTGGATTTTTAATACATGGATCATATTAAAAATTTAAAAGCCAAGAAATGCGAAAACAAACAGAGGAGTTAGATTCTAAAAATAATGGTTTATAATTTCCTGCATAAACTTCGATTATATTGAGATAGCACAAGCTGATCTGATCCACTTTTCAGAAATCATTCCAATTCCAAGTAAAACCAGAATCACTTTTAATGCAGATACCTTAACTACAATCTAGAACCCCCACAAAATGAAATTGAGTACATAATACTTACATATTTATTTGTGGTACCACCAAACAGGAAGATGCATGAATATGAATTAGCTAGACTTTGGTCATTGTTCTCAAGTAAATTGAAGACCAGAAATTCATAGAATTTGCCGGAGGTCAACAAAATTTACCCCGTGAACGTAGTTTCTTGAAAGAAGCAAGACAGATGTTTCTTGTGTGAATAGTAGGAGCCTAAATTAGCAGAAATAACAACTAAAATTAGAGGAAATTGAATCCACATAAAAGTAAATAAATAAAAGAAAGTCAGCACCTAAATAGGACTTAAGAGATTAGAAGTAGTCCACATAAATTTTGGTTCACAATTTTGCGGTGGTGAGTTTCCTTTTTGACACTATAAAATGCACCCTTTGAGACCGATCTTGAATCCAACACTATTGAGATTGTCAGAGACAAATACAAGTCTAAAACATGGGTTCAGAATTTATTCATGGAATTACCTGGTTTTTGTTCTTGGTAGCGATATGTGCCATCAAAGCCAAAGCTATCAGTGTTAATGTCGTTAAATTTGGAGCCAAGGGTGATGGCAAGACAGATGATACCAAGGTAACAAACAACTAATTACTCTCCATCATGATATTAGAACTCAGATTTTTCTCTAACAAAATGAACTTTAGTTTTTTCATCGAACAATCAAATACTATCGCGTCATTCGGTGAATAAAATTTAGTGTGCTATGTGATGTTTCTCATCAAACTAATGTTTTCTTGTTACGTGATTAAATTTTCAGGCTTTCACACAAGCATGGACACAAGCCTGCAGTGAGAGGCAAAATAACAAATATGTGATACCAAAAGGAAAATATATAGTTGGTCCAGTTGATTTTGCAGGGCCCTGCAAAGCAAAAACTATTCACTTTAAGGTTGACGGAACAGTGCAGTCTTCAAAAAAGCAGTCGGTAACTGGAGGTGCGCACCGTAATGCGTGGATTAGTTTCACGCAGGTTAACAACTTGCTCATCTCAGGAGATGGCATTTTTGATGGCCAAGGATCTGAATTCAATTGTGCTAAAGCTAAACAATGCGAACAACCGCCTCTAGTAAGCATCCCCATTCTCAATAATTTTGATTTTTTTTTGTTTGTTTATTCAACAACTATTTATCGTACATGAGTTTTGAACTCAGAACTTCTTCAAACAAAATGAAGACGGAAGTTATGATCTGTTCGATCGGGATTAATTAATGCTTCTTTGATTGAATGCAGAATTTAATTTTCTCTATGGTTAAGGATTCACACATCCAAGGCATAACATCGAACAATAGTGTCGGCGGCCAGATTGGCATTTACCGTTCAAGAAACGTGACAGTGGACGATGTTTCCATCGGCATCCGAGGGGGGGAGGGAATCCTGATCGAAAAGTCAACAAACATTAACATCACCAATACAGACATCAAAATCCTTAGCGACAACTGTGTCACTATCCTAGATGGAAACACTGGGATCAACATCGAAAAAATGACCTGCTCACAAGGCAATGGCCTTGGTGTGAGTGTCCTAGGCAACACTGGCAAAGAGGAGCCGGTTAATGGAGTGACGGTGAGAAACTGTACCTTCTCACACACTGAGGGTGCAATTAGGATCCAGAGTTCGGCGGGTTCTACTGCTAATATAGCCATCTCTAATTTGGTTTTTGAGGACATTATTTTCGACTATCTTCAGAACATGGCTATAGTCTTAGACCAGGAGCATTGCCCATCAAAACAGTGCCGAACGCCAAACCCCTCCAAAGTTAAGGTGTCAAATGTGAGCTTCAAGAACATTAAGGGCAACTCCGTGGACAATCGTATCGTTATTCTTGAGTGTGGCACTGCGCCCGGCGCATGTAAGGACATCAAGTTTAGTGACATGAGAGTTCTCGTCGTAGGGGATGACCATTTGGAGACTCAATTTAGATGTAAAAACGTGAAGCCTGTTGTGTCTGGCAAAGTTGATCCTGCTGTTTGTAATACACGACCCGTTGCCTGATATTAGTTCACGTACGCCATCTTGACATCCAAGATAGAGAAAGAGATAAAGAATATATATATATATATAATATGGTATTCACACTTAATTGAATGATGAGTGGTGATGTTTTTTGTAATAACATCAGCAACAGAATATTGCTGCTTTTTGTAATAACTTTTGGCTTTAAATATCGTTTGTTCAGACTAATCATGTACTAGTATTCGTCGGGAACAAAAATTAGCTCAAGGAGTTTGTTTCAATGTGGTGTTTATTATCTAGATTTCAATGTGGTAATATAGCATGAATTAATAGGCTCTGTTTTACGGGGTTTGTTGGAGGTCAATCAGTTCTTCCACAGACGCAGATTAAGCAAACACGACTGAAAATTGGATGGCAAATTGACTCAAACCAGAAGAAATTAAA